CAAGAAAAAGAGTGGGAAGGAAAAGAGGACTAAATTAGGGCTCCGAGACGCACATTCATCAGATGAAACGCGGAATTGCTTCCACTTCACGCCTGTCTTCTGTGTGGTAGATTCTACATTTGATAGCTCACAGATGCTAAATCGAGGATCGATTATCATAGTTCGGGTATTTCTCCTGTCAATTGTTAACTACCAACAGGTTATAACTTATTTCCGAAATGAAGAATAATATCGTCTATATACAGGCGAAGGTGGAGCTAATATAAGAGTGTTAAAAACAACAGACAATAGAATAAAATTGTTACAGACTAACGAGATAATTAAATGGAAAGAGTAGTCCTCAACAACTTTTCAATGTATTTACTTAGGATCAACTTTCTTGATGTCGAACTTTCTTTAGATTCATTAAAAATGTCCGGATTTCACAGAATGTATTGAAATTAAAACTAACGTTATGAATCAGCAAAGAGTTTTTATACAAAGTATAGCTTTTTAAATTAAAAAAAAATGGAATTCCTTTTTCAATTTTTTTTTGTAAAATGTGAATAAGAAAAACCAATAAAGTAACTGGATTACAAGACTGGATTTCTTTATCCGATCCCCAACAACTAGACAAGATCTAATGCCAGATAAGTAAAGTAAGGGTAATGTTTTTTTGCGTGTATGTAACTTTTTTATTCAAGTTTGTATTGTAAGTTCCAATTTGATCATCTGTGACCACAGAGGCTAAACGATTTTAACGAATTATGTGTCATTCGATTACGATTCATAAGACTAGACTCGGTTTTTTTTTTCAAGAAAAGAAGATGGAGGAAAGGTTAATTTTAATATTTTTTATGTTTTAATTTTACATAGACTTGCAACACATTAACATACGAACCAGTTCAATAGTAAGCAAACTAGAGATTAGCAATGGTTTAGAGGGGTTTGGACCTAATAAACTAAAGTCTTTTTATAAACAACTTTAAAGACAAACTGTCGTATAAGATATAGGGAGGGAATTCCCCGAAGTCTCCAGTTAGAAGTATAAGACTGGATTACTTTGTTCCTGTTGAAATTCTCCTCTAAGATTAATTCTTGTTAAGACACTCTACTAGACGTTCCCTTTTCGCATTTAGTGCGAATTTTTATTTCATAATAACCGAATATTAATTAAAAAGAAAAAAAACTCGACTAATTGATGCGCTAATGGTTGATAGTATCATTTATAGACAGCTCTTTTTAAACAAAGATTTTAACATTTTTAATTTAAAAAAATAAACTCCAATTTCACATAAAATGTAAAAAAAAGTTGCAAACTCTTTTTTCATTAATTTAGAATTTTATTTCATAAGTCAATTGCATTTTTTTGATGTTATATATTTTCCGGGAAAGCAAACGAATCAAAATTCTCGTTCAAATCAAATTTAGTCATTTATGCTCTAGGACGTAGCAATTTAAATACAGAAAAACCCAATAAAAGAACTTATACGTGCGAAAAGCATTACCTTCTTCTCAATGTGGTAATTAATCGCCAGCGCTATTCTTATATGTTCTTCATCTAAGTTCTTATAGTACTTTGTAGATATGCTTTGCGTTTTTGGAGTAATTTTTTATTACTTTGTATGACATTCAAGTGACGTCAATAGTTGAATTCTAAATTAGTACAGTCAGCGTCATATAGATCGTAACAGACAAGATATGCAAATATATAGGTACATCAAAAGTAATCAATTATATCGGTACAACAAAAGTCCTCAAAATAATAGATACATTCACCCTGCTCAAATACATCGGTACATACACAGCGTCAAATATATGAGTACATGCAAGATGCTCATAAATATCGTAGCAGCCACAGCGTCATAAGTAACGAAGCAGTCAAGGTGCGCAAAAATATCGGTACATTTGACAAAATTGAACTCTATCTCTATATACTTGTGATACAATTTGGAATAAACTACTTCTGTTACATTCATTTGACACTTTGTATTAACATTATAGGTTGTCCGGAAAGTTCGTTCTGATTTTCGATAGGAAGCTTAAAATAGACTGTAGCTGAAGTGGATTCATTTTCGGATTTCCACCATTATCAAACGTCACGAAAATTTCTATATTGTGAATAATTTCATTTCATTGGTTGAGATAAAAACTAATTTTTAAAATTTTATCCAATAATAAAAGACGTTTTAGGTATAGAGTCGTAACAATATAATTTAAAAACATTTTCAAAAATTTAAGAGAACAGGGTTTCAATTTTCCTTATAAAGCGGCACGAACTTACTGGGCAACCCAATATTTTTCTTCTCCTGTCATAACCCTTAAATATAAAAGTTTGTCACGCCGAATATGACAGATACGTAATAACTAATATCAAATTTTGCCTTGTCACAATATATACAAGTTTGGCGCAGTATTCTAGTATGTTTGCCGTAATATGTAAGTATACCGGTTCGAATCTCAGGCTACTTTTTTTTTCATTTTATCAATCACGGGGTTATTTTTCCATAACCAGTAAAAATTTGGTAATATAAAATTTTGCTCGACAATTTTTTTTTATAATTTTCGCTGTCGGGTAGAAAGAAATTTAAATAACGTTAACAACAATTAGGTCAGACCATCGCGGGTGAAGTGAGTGGGCGGAGCGTGGATTGTCTTTGCGGGTTTTAAGAATGGTACGCGCGGAAACTATACGTACAAGTGTTATCTACATATGTGTGCGCGTCCACGCACACTGGAATGTTTATTGCAATCGACCAAAAATTTGATGTAGTTTGGATATTGACATTCAGTTTTTTTTCTTTCTTTCTTAAATATAATCAGTATCAGTAAAAGGTAAAGGTAAAAGTGTTATTTTTACCGGTACAAGTTTAACAAACATGAGTAATAAACAAATTACATGCCAATAGCATCGCTTTATCTCCTTCATTTTTGTTTGAAATAGAAAAGTACTTTAACGGTCAAACTCATTAGTCCAAAGCAATATCAAAAAGTACCTAATAACTACGGCGATAAAGTTGAATTACAAGTGCTTCGATATTAAAATTAAAAAGTTTAAATATAAAAAAAAAATAGTGGCTTGGGATTTGAACCGCCGACCTTACGTACCAACGGTGGCGAACGGTAAGGCCACGAGACCAAACTAGCATATATGATGACAAACTTAAATTTGATGTTGGTTTTATCTACCTAATATCTGTCATCCGCGTCGAACACTTTTAGTAAATTTTGAAGAATGGTTTGATGCAAAGTGTCAAATGAATGTAACAGAAGTAGTTTATTTCAAATTGTATCACAAGTATATAGAGATAGAGTTCAATTTTGTCAAATGTACCGATATTTTTGCGCACCTTGACTGCTTCGTTACTTATGACGCTGTGGCTGCTACGATATTTATGAGCATCTTGCATGTACTCATATATTTGACGCTGTGTATGTACCGATGTTTTTGAGCAGGGTGAATGTATCTATTATTTTGAGGACTTTTGTTGTACCGATATAATTGATTACTTTTGATGTACCTATATATTTGCATATCTTGTCTGTGACGATCTATATGACGCTGACTGTACATTCCATCGATCAACCAAATGAGTTTCTTGTCTTTCATCTTTTATGAAATCACATCTTCAATCTGTGTTAGTCTGCTGGATAAGGTTCTTCTTCAAAGCATGTTTGCGTACTCACAATCTCTGTTTTATCCCTATAACCATGCCTTGCCCCTAAGCTAACTTATTTATCTATTAACGGCTTAAACCTTACGCATTTCGGATGTAAACTTTCCTTTATTTTGTAGATGTTAAAGATTAGCGTTACTCACTTAACATCAATTGCATGCTTGTTTACCTACTTAAAAAAAAAAACTGGTTTTACATCGTAACATATCATAGTAACATCAATCAATATTATTCTGAATTGAATTATGGAGACATTGTATCTCATATTTATAAATAAGTTGCCCATTATGTTACTAATTGGGCTTCCTAATACCATTAATTCTCCCGACAAACTTCCTTTTCATGTTATTCTGACAGAATTTGATAATGTTAAAGTTGTAGTCTAGGTTAGAAGTCTCTTATTGGACTAAAACAAATAATTTACGTATTTCCATGAGCACTTTAGGTATCCAAGCTAATTAATACAATGAATACTGCGAATCGAATGTATAAAATCATATACGAATATGAATTTACTTGTCCTAAAAAAGTTTTATTTTATTTCCGTGCGGACGAAGTCGCGGGGTACAGCTAGTGAATAATATAAGTTTACACTAACATATAAGAAATTATATTTATTTTTTCATAACAAAAAAAATATCTCTTCTTTATTCTATTATATTTAATTTTATTCTTTATGTCAAGTTGTGACTAAAAAATCAAAACTATCGTTGCCTCTATGTTGTTTCTCTCAAGGTTAATGTAGTCAAGTTTTGATTTATCAGCATGCAAGTCTGCTGGAAAGAGATGCATTTTCCTTGCATCCCTCTCGCTCGCCCCACTTTGCATACAGGTGAGATTATACTTTCGGTTGCAGTTTTTTGAATACAAAAAAGAAGATAATTTTACGCCTCCGCCATACAATGCCTTTTAAAAAGTTTGCAATTTACTTCATCGAACTAATTAAATTCATAAGTTTCAGTAGTTAACATATCAGTATTTATTCTTACAGAAAAAATGCACATACGATATTGAACACATTTTTATTATATCATTTTTCTTATCTAACACAAATATGACCTAAAACCTCTTGCACTTTGTAATCATTGTGAAATTATAGTGACCGTATTATACTTTTAATATTCTCATTAAAATAATATTTAAAATACTCAAAAACATGCGTTTATAATTTTAACTTAGATAACTCAATAATTTAATTAAATTGTACATGTTGAAGATTTATGTATAGAAAAAGTTTTATTTCATTTGCAAATTCAGCGACGAAGTGTGTTAAAGCGCAACTCTGCTGTAAGGTTCGTAGTTGAGGCGTGCAGTAGTCGCGGGCCGGCTGGTCGTCGTTCGTTGTTCGCTCACTGGCCCCAGCGCGCTGAACATTCGGCATTCGCGGTCCGACGCTTGCGAGGCACGCACGGTGCCTACGCACTCGCCGCAACGCGCACAAAACTTAGAACCATTCCAGTCCAGAAGTAACTTGCCACCATGAGGGTCTGTTCAACAGCCCTCCTCTTAGTTTTCACACTTCTTATACAGGTAAGTCAACGTAACCGACACTTAACAAAGTTTAAGAACTTTTTAAACTTCGTTCGCGAATTTATTTCCTCTCCCGAACTTGGTAGAATCTTGACCAGTGACCATTTGAACTAACCTAGCTAAAAATAATAAACCTGGAGTAGCCGGAGCCGGTTCGAGGTTGTTTCACGTATTTTATAACTTATCCGTGCATTATATTTCACAGCGCGAATATTTTTTTTGCCGCCGATGGTAATTTTCTATATAAAATGTTTCTTGTTTACACAAAATTTTGTCTGGTAGGATTTACCTACTTCGGTCAAAGTTCATACAACTATTTTAGTAGTTACCAAAAAGTTTTTATATTAAGTATAATTTATAAAAGTTAATAATTAATCTTCGATAAAATTATTATAACAAACAATTTATGCACTATATGCATAAAATACCTTAAAAAAATCCTATCATTGTAATAAATAAAAAAAAATAGTATAGAAAAAATATGAAAAGCCATAGTAAATTAAGCATTCTTTTATCCTGTTTAATAATATTTATATTTGTATGTTTGATATGAAGGAAAATATATTAACAATAAATGTGACGACCAGATAGAACGCAATAAGCGTATTTCATATACATTTCAATAAAAAAAAAATCACCCCAAAACGATATAAGAAACTGTAAAAAATCATCCAAGAGGTTCTACAGATTTGAAAAAATTATTCAACATTTTTTATAATACTATAAGAGATTCTCACGGACAATTTTGTTTTCCATTAAGTCCTTATGGATGTTTAAGTTTTTCTAATATATTGCTGACGCTTTTGTAGTCGTAATTTGTCATCTTATATATAAAATTCTCGTGTCACAATTTTCGTTCCCATACTCCTCCGAAACGGCTTGACCGATTCTCATGAAATTTTGTGAGCATATTGAGTAGGTCTGAGAATCGGCCAACATCTATTTTTTAATACCGCGCGGACAGAGTCGCGGGCTACAGCTAGTTTACTATAAAATTTCTAAAGAATAAATTCCCGATAAATGTTACACGGAAAGATTTATTTAAATTAATATCAAAATAAAAGTAATGTTAGTAAACCATGGCAGAGAAAGCACAAACCATGGTGTGAACGAAATTTATCTTTAATGTTATAATATTATACTTTTAAAAAAGTTTTGCCCGTAGAATGGGAAAAATGGCCTAGGATTTTAGATCCACTGAACGATCTTAGGGTTTCCTTTGTCATATTAGAATCCTCCATAAATTGCGTTTTGTAAAACAACTTCGCAGAGGCGACGTTCACTTCTTGATTAAGTTTGCTCGATTGAAGAAGTAGTACTTGAATATGTTATTATTAGCTGTCGCCCGCGACTCTGTCTGCGCGGAATCGAAATAAAAACCATTAATGAGTAGCCTACGTGTTCTTCTAGATTATGCTCTACTTTTATGCCTAATTTCAGCGAGATTCATGCAGCCATCCCTCTAAAAATTCGCATTTATAATATTTGTAAGATTAGTAAGATTACATGTCCTCAAAAGTCCTAGCAACGAAATAGTGACGGAGATGTAACTATTTACACTTTTTCCTCTACATTTATTCGTGCAATTTTCTAAGAGCTGAAAATTCTCGAAAATTCTAATTCGCATTATCGGTTTTAGAAAAATTTCTAAGTAAAATGTATTTGAACGTTGTACCAAGTTTACACTGAAGTCCCATATCCTAATGAAATTGTCGTGCACGGGAGAGAGATGGCGAAGCTCAGCAGATGAAATTCACTAGGTATTCAGTGAAGTTATTGGATTCACATGTAAAGCTTGCGAACTCGTAGACCATCATTAGAATAAATTATATTTATTAACAAGCCATGCGACTTTTTTTTTTGTTATTTCATTAATTTCTATGGAATTATAATAATTAAGTATTTGGATCATATTTCTGGATTTATATTTTTCTATTCAATGTAATTTTGCTCTTACATACGCGGAGGAGAGCTTATTGTGTGGAAGGCAATGCGACGGCCTAAAGCATGGTCTCTTCCGCCGATGCCTTTATTGTTTCATCAAGGGACATTAAGGGACTCCGTACACGGCTCTTCAAGCAGTCTGCAACGGCAGCTTTAAGCGGTCGGTGCGCCGGCACACTGGCTGCCTAAATGCGCTGCAGACAACTTGAAGCTGTGCGTGTACAGCGTCCTTAATATCCAACACAAACTTATGAATCATATAAAAATATATACTTAATGTATCTTTTGTTTGAAAGAATTGTAACACGATAGCTTCTTAATGGGACTTATTAGCCGTCTATTGTGTTATTACAAAGATGTCGTCACGTAAAGAAAGGCTTATATTGCTCTTAAGAGACATGTTTTTCGGCCTGTTATGTGTCATTCTGGGTAAAAGAGCTTATTATATTGCTGTCCATATCAAAGATTGATTTTGTCTCGGAGTTGTAGATATAAGTTTGTGTTATAGACGAGTTTCAGGTAAACATTAAATTACTAGTTGTCTCCCGCGATTTCATCCGCGTGGAATCGAAACAAATAAGTTTGCCCTCGCTTATTTTTAAGTTTATATCTTTGTTACAAATTAACATCCGAACCTATTCTATCTTTCTTTATCTGGGGTAACGAACAAACTTTAAATTATCCAGCCATATCTTTATGTTTTAATAATATTAGTAAGATATTAGTAAGTAAGTCATCGGGACATTTAATATTTCTCTTTTGATTTTACTTTGTCTTGATTTAAACTTTGAAACTATCGCACAACAATCGAAATACATATTCCTTTGTCACATGATACCTCTGTGTCAGCTTGAAGACAATACCATAAACATAGACACAATATATATAGTTAGATGTTATGTATATATATATATATATACGTACTATGTTATTATGCTTTATCGACGGTGCATTATTTTTGTTAGTATAATAGAAGATTGCGAAATGTATATTTGTCTTTTGTGTGTATTAGCTTAATTATATCAGTAATTAAGCTATTTCGTAAAATTTATAGCATCTAGTCTATATAGTAATAACGAGAGTATTCGAAGTTAATGTAAAACAATTATTAGTAAAGAATAAATTATTTTTATAATTGCACATATACTCAAGACTAGTCCAAATGGGTAGGCAGATTAAACGGATTTACTTTTTATATCTTAATCGCGTCTTGTAAATTTTATTATACGTAAGTTAATGTTAGGATATTAAATACTTTGATGCAAGTTTTGTTTTTTAATTTAGTAAATTCAAATTTTAATGAAATCAATTTTGTTATTGTAAATTATTTCTGAATCATTACAATGTTGTAGGTAGACAAATTATAGTTAAAAAGGGAAACCCCAAAACATGAATGCGTTTCAATGATTATGGTTACCAGCAATGCTTTATCATCGGACGATTGGGCGATGCAAAATGTCCATATCAAATTGTAACGGACGTATTTCCTTAAAGTGAGTGCAACCGGGCTACCTACATAATGTATCATAAATACGCGCCGCACCGCGAACTCAATTTGCCATCTTGAAAATAGGACACTTCTTAAAAGCTTTCCTCCTGAACTCTTTATGCATTAAACGCGTTTGCCTCTAACACGGCGAACGGAGAAATGACAATAGGCCTCTCACATAAAATTAATTTTATTAGCCAAATATTACACATGATAAATTCCGTAAAAACCTAATTAAGAATTTTACTGCCGCACCGACTATTACATTAATTAATTTAGATAATTTTTTTAAAAATTATTTTTAAACGTGTAAGTAATTAACGACTCCCAGTCAACTATTAGTTTTCCCATACTAAATGTAAATCAAAGTCTTTCCTTAGGGTTCCGATGACTCTTTTTGTGCCTCGTTCAAAGTCATATGTGCAGTTATTTGATAAGTTGTGTTTGCGGCTAATGAGAATTGGAACAAGTGGCCGTGCCTTATCAGTTAGGTGAACGAAAGGTGTTCTCAGAAGAAATGCACTGACATTGTAAATAATTAAGAATTGTTTTTAAATTAAATTATATAACGGTTAATCAATATTCAATACTTGGGGAACGATTAATTATTTTAATTACTTCGTTTAACACGGAGTACAAAAAGTTTTCAAACTTCCACCAAACTATCACGTTTCCCGACTTCTATTGCCCATGTTTACATCGATGAAATTTGAATGGAATTAATTGTTGATGATGAAAAAATGTTTGAAGACTCAGTAATGATATTGGCAGTAAGACATTCTTTTTCTATTGGCCACTTTGCTATTTAAATATGTTCAGGAGAGTGAAATATTTTTTTTTAGCCTTCAATGTCTAAGCTGTCTATTCTGACTGTCGAAGGAAAAATAATTTGAAACATTTAAATCAGGAAAACAAGATATTTTGCAATATATGGTTAATTTTATATTTACAACGTGTATTTTTGCTTTGGTATGTCGGAATACGAATCGCTAAGCACCATAATTAATGTATATTTAGAAAATTTCCTTGTTAGCCGCACTTACTAACTATCGCGAACTATTTTCACACGCCTTATCTAATTGGGAACTTGCGGGCATTCAAAATCGTAGTTAGCCAGTATGGATAGTTAGATATCGAAGTTATCAATATTTTGACAAACAATACGAATGATTTACATCAATTGCATATATATTTTTATAATTATTTAATTACATTATTTATTAAATTATCAGATTGCTATTATTCTCTTTATAAAATAGAGTAAGATAGAAAAATTCGTAAGCTTGTGGAAAATCTTGATGCAATTTTCAATATGTTAATAACGTATCCCATTAGGAGGGCTGGATAGAGTATTATGTCGAAAATATTATCGGAACATAAGTTACGTTGTAGTTAATTGCTTGAGGAAAATTTTTGCTTGAATAGTAATTATGTTTGTTACATTGTGACGTCTTTTTGCTATAAGTTAAACAATTTTGGAATGTCATTCGATTCGTATTACCCAAAGAGTTGTGTCGGATTTTTTTTCTAAGAGTCGGAGTCTACGCCTAATTTACGTTTAGCTGTT